ATTTACTTTATGTACCTGTGTTCTATAGGCGCTTTTGTTGCCTGCCACGTCATAGATGCACATTTGCGGTGCCGCGGGAAGTTGCAGGGCGCAAGGAGGGCGTGCCAAATTAATTACAATTCAGTATAATTACAAATGCGGTATTCAAATCGCCTGGGCGAAAATTGTAAACACACGCAGCCATCTCCCTTACTGTGCAATGACATGATTCGTAATGTACTGTGTTGTGTGGCTACACAGTTGAACGGCAGTTCCGGGATCTCTACATCCTCCACATGTGGGTTCCGGGGCCCCATGTGGGTTCTGGGACCGCATGTGGGTTCCAGGGCCCCATGTGGGTTCCTGGACCCCATGTGGGTTCCGAAGTCCCATGTGGGTTCCGGGGCCCCATGTCGGAAAGAACAATAACAGACCCACTGCCTCCCCAACAAGCTTGTGGTAGGAGCCGACTAATTGGGGACTTCCTTCGAAGTAGAAGTGTATCTCTCCGAGCGGCAAGGAACAGCCAACTGCACACAAATAGGTTAATAAAACAGATGTACACGCGAAACTAAGACCCTGGCATAAAGCCAATGTCCAAATGGACGAACAACCATGACTTTCAACCGGTGAACAAAGAAGAAGAAGAAGAAGAAGAAGAAGAGGAAGAAGAAGAAGAAGAAGAAGAAGAAGAAGAAGAAGAAGAAGAAGAAGAAGAAGAAGAAGAAGAAGAAGAAGAAGAAGAAGAAAAAGAAGAAGAAATAGAAGAGATGTCTGATCCCGTGCGGATTTGAACCCACGACTTTTTGATCCGCAAGCAAGCGTTTAGCCGCTACACAATGCCCCCCCCCCCCCCCCATCCCCCACGTACTCCACTGCACACCAGAAATTAGACGAAGAAGTAATTTAGCAATGCTGAATGTAAAAGTATGAAGGATATGACGCAACGTGACAGTCAAGAGAGAAAAAATCATTCATGTGGTAACAGACGAATGTGAGTCAAGGACTATCTGGCGATCACTGAATGAGAAAATCTGTTTTTTTTTAAATTAATTTTTATTTTATTTTTTTAACTCAAAGATTACAGGAATCCACGTAGGGGTTCTAGAATTCCATTTTAGAGGCAATATAACAGATCCGCTGCCCCTTAAAAAGCACGGGTTCTTTAATAATATCCTACCCCAGATGACGTCACAGGACAGTCCAACATTTTAGAGGGTGGTAAGACTGGGTTTCCCGGCTTTATGATGCTTTTAGCGATCCCAACACATCTAGAACTGGCCCTAACCCCAACCCACCTACGTCCCACAAAAGAGTGCAGCCTAGATCCCACGACTGTATTCAGGCTAGGTCCCACGACTGCAGGCAGCCTATCTACCACCACCGGAAATATTAGACTGTCCCGTGACCTGTGGATTTTCCCTGTTAGGGGTAGGATATTAATAAAGCACCCAAATATGTTGTAAAAGGCGAGTAATTAGGAGTGTTTTTTTCAAAGTCGGAATGCAGGTCTGAGAGGCGACTAGCCCAGTCTACACACCAATAATTCAGATCTGTAAAATAAGAGTAAAAGCAAAACTCAAGTTCTGGAGGAAGACTAAAGCCCATAAGTGGACGAACGACCATAATTTTACCAAATGCAGCCGTATACAATATTACGCAATCTTGTCTCCATAAAAATTGAGTAACGAATTAAAGGACCTTTTCCAGCAAGCCAGACGCCTTTGCCTCCCATGCATCTACCTTGTACCCACTCAAGGCTGAATCGACCTGACAGCCAAAGTCATTTCTGAAGATTAAAAAAACTAGTCCGGCTCCATAAGGAACCGAACCCACGACCTTCCGATCCAAAGGCGAGCGTCTAGCCGCTTCAGCACGGCGACTCCCTCTTGTCTCCTTAAACAGAAACGAAAGTTAGTTTCAGTTCGGTGAAAGATAACACACCGACAACAACAACACAGCAGACTGGTAGATATACACTCACCTAGGTCCCTCGCCTTGAACACTCAGGTGGTAGAACGTGCAACACTAGAAGTCTCAGAAAATGGCAGCGCTCGAGGTGTTCCAGTACTGGCAGACACAGCTCATCCGCTCAGCCACTCACAGACTCGACGAAATCTCCAACGCAACGTCAGGAGAGGAAGTTCAGTGCTGAAAGGTCAGAGTTCGTTTGCTCCAAACAATTTGTCCAAGTTGCTGACACATGCTTCCAGAACCACAGCAAAAGATTGGGTCCCAAGTCTGATTCCCCGGTAGGGCCACATATTGTAATGTGTGTCGCCAATATGTGATAAACCCAGCTTCATGAAATAAGTTAAGTTACTAAGCGAAGCAAATGTTACAATATGGGACCGGGAAGGCGCGACTCTACAAATAGATATGTGGAAAAAGGGGAGGGGGGGGGGGCATCCAATCCCACTTCCCTTCACCCGCGCTACAAATTTTCTAGTGAAAAATTGGGGTGGGTGGGGCAGGGGGGAGGGGTTGTTGAGAGAGAGCTGTCTACATAAAAGCGGACCTCCACGACTGCTGTTTTCAAGAACGCGTACCTCCGCGAAAGCTGTCCACATCAACGCGGACCTCTGCGAGAGCTGACTACAAAAACGCGGACTTCCATGAGAGCTGATTACAAGAACGCGGAACTCCAAGAGAGCTGACTACAAGAAGGCGGACTTCCATGAGAGCTGACTACAAGAACGCGGACCTACGAGAGAGCTGTCTACAAGAAAGCGGACCTCCGAGAGAGCTGTCTACAAGAACGCGGACCTCCGCGAGAGCTGTCAGCAAGAACGCAGACCTCTGAGAAAGCTGTCTACAAGAATGCGGACCATCGAAAGAGCTGTCTACACGAACGCAGACTTTCTTCTTCTTGGATCCTTCTGTCAGCAAACTTATATCAAGAGGCTGGCAGAGAACCTCCAAGAGAGCTATCAACAAGAACGCGTACCTCTAAGAGAGCTGACTACAAGAAGGCGGACTTCCATGAGAGCTGACTACAAGAACGCGGATCTACGAGAGAGCTGTCTACAAGAATGTTAACCTCCGCGAGAGCTGTCTACAAGAACGCGAACCTTTGCGAGAGCTGTCTACTAGAACGCGGATTGGATTGGATTTTTTACCCCACCAGGACATCACACAATCGATAAACACCCGATGACACAAAGTGCCACCATGCGGATGAGGATCACCGTGGAGAGGTCCCAGAAACCGCGTTCAGACATTTGGCCATAATGATGACCTGCCTATATTGCGGCCCCTGGCAAAAGCCAGAGTGGGGCTTCAAATAACAAAAAATAACGTCCTAAGAAGGACGAAAAGTTCTAGTACACTAGAACGCGAACCTCCAAGAGAGCTATCTACAAGAACGCGGACCTCCAAGAGAGCTGACTACAAGAACGTGAACCTCCGCGAGAAATGTCAACCAGAACGCTTACCTCTGAGAAAGCTGTCTACAAGAACGCAGACCTCCGAGAGAGAGACCTGTTTACAAGAACGCAGACCTCCGAGAGAGAGCTGTCTACAAGAACGCGGACGTCCAAGAAATCGATAGGGGTCATCGATAGTTAGGAGTGCATGCTTTCTTGTCAACTAATAAAACAGCGCCACTGGATAACTTTGCAATAATTTTTTTTACCTTTTTTAAACAGTAGGTTATGAAGAATGTGTAGCCAGAATTCTTGTCATTCCTAATGTTAACGCAAAGACATAATACAGGATAATTAGTTAGTTAATTTTTCCTTTTGAGCCTAAGGAGGCGCATAGGGCAGAGGTCATAGCTCTCCATGTCTGGCGGTTCGTTGCCACCTGATTTAGGTCTTGTATATTCATTAGGCCAATAGTTAAGCCTTTCCTGATGTTGATTCAGAGCAAAGTCTCTCTTGCTCTTCCTGGTTTTCTTTTTCCTGCAGGTGTCCAAACGAGGGCTTGATGGGGAAGTTGTCTTATCCATTCTGAGTGCATGGCTGATATTCTTCTTCTTCTTCTTGTTCACCGGCTGTGAATTCCGGCGGTAAGTCGCGGTTGTTCGTCCAAAATGGACTTTTGGCTTTTACCTTGACCTGAGTTTTGCGTGTACATCCGTTTTCCTGGCTTATTTGTTTGCAATTCTCGTTCCCCGCCTCTGCGGCAGATAATTCCAGCGGGGCTTTCTTATAAAATTGGAGACATTTTCTTGCTTGGTCTCTTGACAAGATATTATTAATTCTCAATTAGTAACTCATTAAATTGAATTTAAAATGAAACCTTGTATGATAGCTATCACTCATGGTTTCAGCTTAACCGCAAATGGGTCATCCCATAAATCTTCCATTCCTGGGTTAGTTCAACATTGCTCTCCCCATTTACACTTTTACACACTAGCTCACTTCATCATAAGATCTCTTATAGTTTTGTTCACAGCCTTTCTGAAACATTAAATTTCACAGGTGGTTAGTTTTCTTCTGTGATCTTTAGTCAATGTCCCCGTTTGATGCTGATACCATAAGGTTGATATAAAGACTGCATTTATAATTTGTCTTTTTATCTCTAGTGGGATAGCTGGGTGTTAAAAATTGGGCTCAGCTGATACGTTACATTGGTGGCTTTCTTGTTTTCTTATTTCATAAACTGCTTCTAGAGAATTTGACGGGGGAAAACTTCAATCGGCTGCCAGTTTTCTGGACCTGTTGCTGGTTCATCCTTATATAAACACTGGTTTTAACACTTCAAACACAAACAGAACACTGCAAAAAAAAACATCCTTAGATAACTAGGCCAGGCCAATTTTATAGTATGGGATTACATAACCAGCTAACTTATCATGACATATATTGAGACCAAAAATAAAGATAATAAACTGAAGTAACCAGTCAACAAGTATTAGCAACAGTAAACATTTTATCTGTTCAACCAAGAATAAAGAAAACAAATTAAAATACGAAGTCAACATGTTTGAGCAAAAGTAAACATTTTATCTGTTGAACCAAGAGTACAGATAACAAGTCAAAGCAATAAGTCAACGAGTGTTAGCAACAGTAAAGATTTTATCTGTTCTTGGTCCCCCTGGTTATTTCTGTAGCCTGCATCTCTTCCAGTGACTTCTGCCAGATTGGAAACATATTTTCTACCATTGATTTGTAGTTGGCCTGAAAAAAGAAAATTACAGCACATAGATTTATCTTGGCAGAGTGGTATCCTTTGTTATTTAGAAATTTCCAAACAATGCTGCAATAGTCTGGTAACTTTAGTTTCAGCTTCATGGCAAACAGGTCACCCCCATAGTTGCCCCGTTCCTGTGCCAACTGAAAAAAAAAAAACCCACACAGAATGTCCATCACTGTCCCTTGTGGAAAAACTGACACAGACAGCAGTCTCAGCATATTCACTGGCATGCACACGCATTAACAGCATAAGGCAGTCAAAAGAAGCAAAAATAAAACAGACATTAGAAATGCAGTACATTATCGACGGAAGCAGCAGTTACAAACAGATCACCAGCTGCACATAGGAATAATTGTAATGACACAAGGCAACAACAATTCTGGGGCAACAGGCCACTTGCTATTTTCTGAATCTACATTTCACAAAACCATGTTGGTCACAGTAAAAAAAAATATTTCAAATGAAATCCACAGCTCACAGTGTCACACTGTATGCTCAACTTAGTAACTGGGTGCAAAACATTATCCTTTTAGTCTACAAATAGAGGAAACTGAAACAGTCACCATCACTCATATGCCAGAATTTGCCATGACTAAAGAAACAGTGTTAACACGTCTCCTCCATTTTGACCAGATGAGTCATATCTCCCTGACTACACCCAAAGTTATGGTAATGTCTCCATGACTGCACCAAGTGTTAGAGTCATATTTTTCTGACTGCACCAAGTTTCAGTCATACCTCATTGACTGCACAGAGTGTTAGGGTGGTATCTCACTGACTGCACTAAGTATTAGAGACATATCTTCCTTACTGCATCAAGTGTCAGAGTCATATCACCATGACTGCACCAAATGTTAGATTCATATCACTATGACTGCACCAAATGTTACAGTCATATCCCATGACTACATCAAATGTTAGAGTCATATCTTTGTGACTGCGCTACGTGTCAGAGTGATAGATCCCTGAATGCACCACGTGTCATGGTGATATATCTCACTGACTGCACCAAATGTTACAGCCATATCTTCCTGACTGCACCAAGTGTTAAAGCCATATCTGGCTGACTGCACCAAGTGTTAGAGTCACATCCGTCTGATTGTACCAAGTGTTAGAGTCACATCCGTCTGACTGTACCAAGTGCCGAGAGTTAGTTACATTCCACTGCCTGTGCCAAGTGTCCGGGTGATATCTTCTAACTGCACCAGATGCAGAGTGATACCTCACTGACTGTACATAGTGTCAGGGTAATATCTCACCGACCACACCAAGTGTCCGGGTCATATCAGCAAACCCTACGTTTAATTAACCTAGATTATAATTCTGAACCGAAACCTAACCCCAACTTAAACAATAACTACAATTGCAACCCTAACCTGAACTCTAGACCCAATCTCAACTCTAACAACAATTCCAACAATACCCCTAATCTAAATTGAACTCTTAACAGTTGAAACCCTAACACCAGCTACAGCCCCAACTTGAACTCTTGAACAACTCTTCTAAGACTAACCTCAACCCTAACTCTAGTCCCAACCTGAAATCTGACAACTGTTCTAACCCCAACTGTAGCTCCAAGAGGCAAACTAACAACAATTCCAAACATAATCCAAACTCTAGCCACAACCTGAACTCTTAAAAATATTACAATCCTAACCTCAACTTCAAATCTAACCAGAACTTTAACCCTAACCACACAGTGACTAAAGTTTTCCTCACTGCGATTGCTACTCTTGCTCTAGAACTCCCAAGGTGTCCCGCGTAGAGGTATCCAACAACAGCAGTGTTTACTCCGGACAACTACACTGTCAGAATTTGCGGTTCAGTCAACAGGAAGTTATTTTCAAGATGCATTTTCTCATTCTTTCAGAACTGCATGTATGACCTACAACAGCTGATCCACAACAAAACATAACACACCTGAAGGTAGGCAAAACTGGGACTGACTGGTTCCTGCAGATGCTTTGACGTTTCTTCCAGCGATTGTACATCCTGCAGAAATAAACCCCAGAAATAGGTATGTACACCACTGTAAAGGTGCGTACATCTTACCATTCCCTGTAACCACAGAAATATGTACGTACACCACTGTACAGGTGTGTACACCTTACCATTCATGTAACCACAGAAATATATGTTCGTACATTTTACGATTTTTTTCTAACCGCAGAAATATGTACGTATGCTACATAAACAAGTACACATAATAACTAAACAGGTCTATACATCTTAACACTTTTTGTAACCACATAAATATGTACATATGCTACATAACAAGTACACACAATACTGGACAAGTCCGTAAATCTTACCAATCTTTGTAACCACAGAAACATGTATGTACACATGACCAGTACACACAATACTGGACAGGTCTGTACATCTTACCACTTTTTGTAACCACATAAATATGTACGTACAGCACAGTACATGTTTGTACACCTTACCACTTCTTGTAATCATAGCAATAATGATCTAACTTTCTTTATAAACTGACTTACACTCGACATGTTGTCAATATCACAGCTAGTGTCTTTACTTTCTCAAGAGAATCTCCTCATACTCACAGGTGTGGCGCTGACCTGGGACCACTTGACAAGCATGCTAGTCACTGCATTATTTGGCTATCCTCTGAATAACGGGCACAAAAGATGGCGGCCGCAAAAACACCCTAACAGAGCCTCAGTCACGTGTCATTTGCGCACTTCCGGCCACTTAATTTGCGGTTTTCCGGCGACTACCGCCACCGCTGAGAGTATTTCCCTCGCCGCTCGTGTGGTGTGGATTGGGGCTAAACTAGATGGCTGGGACTCACGAGCAGCAGCTTCCGCATCTCCTGCAGCTTTGCTTGTGAGTCCCACCCAGCCATCTAGTCTAGCCCTAATCCACACCGCGTAAGCGGCGAGGGAGATACTCTCGGCGGCGGAGGTAGTCGCTGGAAAACCACAAATTAGGTTACCAGAAGTGCGCAATTGACATGTGGCTGAGGCCCTGTTTTTTGCCTCCATCTTTTGTGCCCATTAATCGGAGGATAGCCCATTATTTTGTTAATTTTATAATGGTGCCACACTGCCAAATTTAAATTTGACATTAACTAACTACAGAGTAGTATTATCACACTGTAATATGACACTAACCAATGATAAAGTAGCGCTGTCACACCGAAATATGATTCAAACCAATGATAGAGTAACAGTGTCACACTGAAATATGACACTAACCAATGAAAGAGCAGCAATAAAAAACAAAACATTGACCAATAATAAACTAGCATTGTACACTGGTAACCAATCAATATAGTATCTGTCTCATTTTAAAATACACTATACCATCACATATACTGTAAAATCACATATATTGCCCAGTCAGTCACATATACTGTACGGAAGTTCAGGTACACTTTACATGCACTCACATTTAGTGTATTTAGTTTACATACAATGACATATACTTACAATCACATATAGTGTACAATCACATACAGCGTACAATCAAACAATAACATATACTTACAATCACATATAGTGTACAATCACAAACAGTGTACAATCAAATATACTGTCCATCTACATTCTGTGACAATCGTATTGATCTACTGACAATCACATACTTTGCACAGGAAACTGCATATTATTTACAGGCAATCGCATATACCGTATACTCACATACACTTGTACAGGCAATCACATAGTCTGTACAATCACATAAACTGCACAGAAAATTCCATTTATTGTACATACAACCTTACATACAATGACAATCTTATCTACTGTATTGCCAATCACATACAATGTACAATCACATACACTGCACAGGCAATCATGTATACTGTACAGGCAACAACATATAAGGTACAATCACGTATACTGAACAGGCAATCAAAAAGTCTGTACAATCACATATACTGTAAAGCCAATCACACATTTTGTACAGACAATCATATATACTGTAAAATCCCATTTACTTTTAATGCCATCTTATATGTACAATCACATATATTGTATTGATAATCACCTATACTGTCCAATCAAATATACTGCACACACTGTACAATCAAACATACTGTACTGACAATAACAACATTGTACAATCAAATGTACTGCAAAGACATTCACACATTCTGTACAATCATATATACTGTACAGACAACCACATACATGATATGACAATCACATATAATATTGGTGATTTTTAATCACTTATGGATAGCTGTAAACATTCAAGTAGCTAAGGTAAGAGTGTGAAAAAGTTGTAAATGTTGAACAGAACAGTCGACACACTACACAAACCTAATGACATGAAGAGTTATATATATATATATATATATATATATATATATATATATATATATATATATATATATATATATATATATATATATATATATATATATATATATATATATATATATATATAAATATTATCAACCATACCAAAGCCACCATTACACACACAAAAAGTAATAAATTCAATAACAGAAATAACTAATGACACTGTAAACCCTGATTATAACCCAGAATGCATTGTCCAGGTTAGGTAGGCGGTAAATGTCATCCATAGAAAACAACAGGATTGTTGTTACCCAATGAACCAAATGTTTACCACATTTATCTGCACCTGAATTCTGTTTTGATAAAAGCTAAATGCAAAACTTACAAGCTTCTGCAGGCGGAAAAAAAGCCCTTAGAAAATGTGTCAAACAAGTTTACCTTCAGAAGTTTGCCGTTTCGAATTGTGGCATCTGTGTTGCTCAACACAGCATCCTGTCCTGCTGTTTTGTGCAACATATTTCTCGATGCTCCTAGTAGTGCCTCACGTTTGTTAATTCTGGCAATCAAGCAAACAAATTTGAGAATGAAATAAAGGGAGAGAAATACAAAAGAATACACTTCACTCAGTACTGTCAGCATTTAGTCAATGATGCGTTGATAGTCAATGCTGCCTTGTCTTCTTTTAAAGTTTTATGTTAATCTTTCTGTCCTGTTCTGCTGTTAATTGTGTGGTTATTGTCTTGTTCTGCTTTTCTTTGTGAGGTTATTGTCTTGTTCTGCTTTTCTATGGGTGGTTATTGTCTTGTTCTGCTTTTCTATGGGTGGTTATTGTCTTGTTCTGCTTTTCTATGGGTGGTTATTGTCTTGTTCTGCTTTTCTTTGTGAGGTTATTGTCTTGTTCTGCTTTTCTATGGGTGGTTATTGTCTTGTTCTGCTTTTCCTTGTGTGGTTCTGTCTTGTTCTGCTTTTCTTTGTGTGGTTCTGTCTTGTTCTGCTTTTCCTTGTGTGGTTCTGTCTTGTTCTGCTTTTCTTTGTGTGGTTCTGTCTTGTTCTGTGTTTCTTTGTGTGGTTCTGTCTTGTTCTGCTTTTCTTTGTGTGGTTGTCTTGTTCTGCTTTTCTTTGTGTGGTTCTGTCTTGTTCTGCTTTTCTTTGTGTGGTTCTGTCTTGTTCTGCTTTTCTTTGTGTGGTTGTCTTGTTCTGCTTTTCTTTGTGTGGTTCTGTCTTGTTCTGCTTTTCTTTGTGTGGTTCTGTCTTGTTCTGCTTTTCCTTGTGTGGTTCTGTCTTGTTCTGCTTTTCTTTGTGTGGTTCTGTCTTGTTCTGTGTTTCTTTGTGTGGTTCTGTCTTGTTCTGCTTTTCTTTGTGTGGTTGTCTTGTTCTGCTTTTCTTTGTGTGGTTGTCTTGTTCTGCTTTTCTTTGTGTGGTTCTGTCTTGTTCTGCTTTTCTTTGTGTGGTTCTGTCTTGTTCTGCTTTTCTTTGTGTGGTTGTCTTGTTCTGCTTTTCTTTGTGTGGTTCTGTCTTGTTCTGCTTTTCTTTGTGTGGTTCTGTCTTGTTCTGCTTTTTCTTGTGTGGTTCTGTCTTGTTCTCATTTTCTTTGTGTGGTTCTGTCTTGGTCTGCTTTTCTTTGTGTGGTTCTGTCTTGTTCTACTTTTCTTTGTGTGGTTCTGTCTTGTTCTGCTTTTCTTTGTGTAGTTATTGTCTTAATCTGCTTTTCTTTGTGTGTGGTTATTGTCTTGTTTTGCTTTTCTTGGTGTAGATCTGTATTGTTCTCCTTTTCTTTGTGTGGTTCTGTCTTGTTCTCCTTTTCTTTGTGTGGTTCTGTCTTGGTCTGCTTTTCTTTGTGTGGTTCTGTCTTGTTCTCCTTTTCTTTGTGTCGTTATTGTCTTGTTCTGATTTTTTTTGCGTAGTTATTGTCTTAATCTGCTTTTCTTTGTGTGGTTCTGTCTTGTTCTGCTTTTCTTTGTGTGGTTGTCTTGTTCTGCTTTTCTTTGTGTGGTTCTGTCTTGTTCTGCTTTTCTTTGTGTGGTTCTGTCTTGTTCTGCTTTTCCTTGTGTGGTTCTGTCTTGTTCTGCTTTTCTTTGTGTGGTTCTGTCTTGTTCTCTGTGTGTGGTTCTGTCTTGTTCTCCTTTTCTTTGTGTGGTTCTGTTTTGTTCTCCTTTTCTTTGTGTGGTTCTGTCTTGTTCTGTTTTTCCTTATGTAGTTATTGTCTTGGTCTGCTTTTCTTTGTGTGGTTGTCTGGTTCTACTTTTCTTTGTACAGCTCTGTCTTGTTCTGCTTGTCTTTGTGTAGATCTATCATGTTCTGCTTTCTTTGTGTGGTTCTATCTTGTTCTGCATTTCTTTGTGTTGTTGTCTTGTTCTGCTTTGCTTTGTGTGGTTCTGCTTTTCTTTGTGTGGTTCTGTCTCGTTTTGTTTATCTTTGTGCGATTTCCATCTTGTTATGTCAATCTTTGTGTAATGCGGTCTTGCTCTGCTTTTCTTTGTGTGTTGTCTTGTTCTGTGCTTCTTTGTGTGGTTATCTTGTTCTGTGTTTCTTTGTGTGGTTGTCTTGTTCTGTGTTTCTTTGTGTGGTTGTCTTGTTCTGTGTTTTTGTGTGTGGTTGTCTTGTTCTGCTTTGCTTTGTGTGGTTCCGTCTTGTTCTGCTTTTCTTTGTGTGGTTCTGTCTTGCTCTGCTTTTCTTTGTGTGTTGTCTTGTTCTGTGTTTCTTTGTGTGGTTGTCTTGTTCTGTGTTTCTTTGTGTGGTTGTCTTGTTCTGTGTTTCTTTGTGTGGTTGTCTTGTTCTGTGTTTCTTTGTGTGGTTGTCTTGTTCTGTGTTTCTTTGTGTGGTTGTCTTGTTCTGTGTTTTATGTGTGGTTGTCTTGTTCTGCTTTGCTTTGTGTGGTTCTGTCTTGTTCTGCTTTTCTTTGTATGGTTCTGTCTTGTTCTGCTTTTCTTTGTGTGGTTCTGTCTTGTTCTGCTTTTCTTTGTATGGTTCTGTCTTGTTCTGCTTTTCTTTGTGTGGTTCTGTCTTTTTCTCCTTTTCTTTGTGTGGTTTCGTCTTGTTCTGCTTTTCTTTGTGTGGTTCTGTCTTTTTCTCCTTTTCTTTGTGTGGTTTCGTCTTGTTCTGCTTTTCTTTGTGTGGTTGTCTTGTTCTGCTTTTCTTTGTGTGGTTTCGTCTTGTTCTGCTTTTCTTTGTGTGGTTCTGTCTTGTTCTGCTTGTCTTTGTGTGGTTCTGTCTTGTTCTGCTTTTCCTTATGTGGATCTGTCTTGTTCTGTTTATATTTGTGCCATTCCCCCCTGCTCTGTTTATCTTTGTGTGTTTCTCTTTATATTTGTGTGGCTCTGTCTCGTTCTGTTTATCTTTGTGCGATTTCCATCTTGTTATGTTTATCTTTGTGTAATGCGGTCTTGCTCTGTTTTTTTCCTGAGTGGTTGTCTGCCATGTGTTGTGTTCAGTCCTGTCTTTTCCTGCCCTTCCTTATTTTCTTTCTTCTAAAGATCAGTCTTCTCTTCCAATGTCTATTCCAGTCATAGTTTTGCTGTGCTGTGTTTTATAAAATCAGGTTCTGCTTTGTCTTATTTGTTTCTTGCTTTTGATGTATTACTTTTGTTTTGTCTTGTACTGTCTTCACATGTCATAATACATTATTTTATCATGTCTTGTACTGTCCTGAAGTGTAACAAAACATTATTTTGTCATGTCTTGTACTGCCTTGAAGTGTCATATAACATTTGTTGTCATGTCTTGATGTGCCATAATATATTATTTTGACATCTCTTGAAATGTCTTGATATGTCATTATATATTATTTTGTCATGTATTCTACTGTCTCAAGTTATCATAGTATATTATTTTGTCCTGTCTTGATGTGTCATATTATATTATTTTGTCACATCTTGTTCTATCTTGATGTGTCATAATATATTTATTTTGTCCTGTATTGATGTGCCATAACATATTATTTTGTCATGTCTTGCAATGTCTTGATTTGTCATTATATATTATTTTGTTATGTACTGTACTGCTCCAGGTGTCATAATACATTATTATGTCCTGTCTTGATGTGTCACAATATATTTTTTTGTCACATCTTGTACTGTCTCGATGTGTCATAATATACTATTTGTTCTGTCTTGATGCACCATAATATATTATTTTGAGACGTCTTGTACTGTCTTGATGTGTCATAATATATTATTTTGTCCCATCTTGTACTGTCTCGATGTGCCTTAATATATTATTTGTCCAGTCTTGATGTGCCATAATATATTATTTGTCCAGTCTTGATGTGCCATAATATATTATTTGTCCAGTCTTGATGTGCCATAATATATTATTTGTCCAGTCTCGATGTGCCATAATATATTATTTGTCCAGTCTTGATGTGCCATAATATATTATTTGTCCAGTCTTGATGTGCCATAATATATTATTTGTCCAGTCTTGATGTGCCATAATATATTATTTGTCCAGTCTTGATGTGCTATAATATATTATTTGTCCAGTCTTGATGTGCCATAATATATTACTTTGTCATGTCTTCTACTGTCCAATTTTGCAATATTTTGGCCTATACTGTCCTACAATTATTCTGTTTTGTGCTTTTGCCTCACCTTGCCATCTGGGTTTATCCGGGTAAAGATTCGACATCACGGCATTCAGCATAAGCCGCATGAGCTTTGTTCTCCCTTCTCCACAGCCAGCGAAGAGTCTCCCTACTGACAGTACCCATTATCATCTGGTTAACTACTTATCTTGTCTTTTCTCTGAGTTTCCAGTGGCACAAAATGTCCGCAGACACCCTATCTCCTGGCACAGACTTTCATTATCTTCCATTTTACTTGTTACCTTGCCATAGCTAGCTAGTTAGTCAACAGACTATTCTCACTGCACATCGAACCATTCAGTCTATAAGTGCTCAGATACCCCTCCTTCTTATTCTTCTTCTTGTGTTCGCTTTCTGATTGACACAGAGAGACCAGTTCTCGTGATACACTTGAAAATTTTAAAGTGTTTCCTTATAGTTCCATGCAACGATGAGTCAGTGGGCCAGTTTCCCTTCTTAACAGGCTGTACAAAGGACATTCTTGCAGAACATGTTCTGTCTGTAGTCTGTGCACAAAGCTCACAAGGGTGCAGTGGTGAAATACTGAGACAGATCCTGTGCGTATGCTTGTTAAGTTTTTTGTGTCCTGTTCTGAGCCTTAGAATAATGACTTGCCAATGCCGATCAGATACCTTCCTTATTAAATCCTGCAGCGTATAGCAGCTGATGACACCAGCTCCTTATTGGTTTCTTATTCTTCTTTGGCTCCCAGCATAGTGCTCTTGTCTGGCCTATTGAAAACATGAAGCAACTAATTACAAACCCTAAAAAACAAAGAAAACAAAAACACAGGAACTTGCATTTCTTCATGGAGCACATTCAGCTGCAGCTCCCTGGCGATCAAGTGTTCCAGCCTGGCATGGAAAGATGTTGCTGTCCCTTCCACATCCAGCTTCATGGTGCTCATACTCTACTGTGACAACTGCCAGCAGACGAAGGTGACAATCTAGACACAGTTATATCATTTGTATCCTTTTCTCATTGGTTTCGAATGTTTATTTTGTTGTTATTCTACTGTATACACAATCAAGGACCTGCTTTCATATAATGAAAATGAAGAAAGGAATCAATCCATCAAAAATTGACATCCCTGCACTCAAATACACAATCCTTGTAACATTTTTTTGGAGGCATCTGTCACTATTTTCAGTTATAGCATTGTCTGTTTAATAATTTGTTACCTAATAACCCCAAATTCTGGATACAATTTTTAACTAGCATGGCCGCCACATTTGAGTATAATTAGTAATTATGTTAAGATTTATACTGAAGCTGTTAAATATAAGTTATATTTTTAAATCTACAACAGTTGTAGCATTTGTAAATGCATCTATCATTACTTGAAGTTTGCAGTATTGCCTGTTTGACTGATTGTTACTTGCCTCATCACCCCTAAATCCAGAAGATATCCATCATGGCTGCATTTTGCAATTAAGTTAAAATGCATACTAAAGTGCTAGTTACATGAGATTTATTTTTGAAATCTGCAACCATTACAGTAATTTTTTAAATGCAACTGTCATTATTTTAAGTTGGCATTACTATCTTTTTGAGTCATATTAACCAGAGGACCCCCGGCCATTGATAATTTCCCTCAAACTGGCCATAATCATCAGTTCTCGTTATGCCTAATGGCACATGAGGCTTCAGAGAGGACTTTCCATGCTTTCATGTCCTGTGCAATCTTCAATGCAGTTTTCCATGTCAAAGATGCCACACTCAGGTCACTTTCCATCGTTCGCCTCCATGTTGTTTTTGGGTGCCCCTTTTTTTTCTTTCCCTCTGGTATCCACGTGAGAGCTGTTTTTGCAGGTATATCACGATTCATTCTCATAACGCGGCCAAGCCATTTCCATCTTCTCTTGGTTATCACACAGTCTAGAGTTTTTTGGTTTGTGACTTGAACTGGCCATACTTAGTAATTAGGTTTGTACAATAATTACAAGACTTATGTTTTTTGAATCTTCAACACTGTAGCTGCGTGGTGAGTACCTGCTCTGGGTACAATGATAATATAACAAAAGACTGGCATTACTTATCACACTCTTGCTTTAACAAATGACAAACAGGCACAAATAGATCATTATGGTCTGAGAAGAATGGCGCTACGGGGAGCTACCAGGAAATCTGGCCGACGTTCAATACTCAAGGAAAAGGTTAGACGGATGTATAATTGGACAGTTACTGGTACCATAGAATTTTTGTTTTGTTTTGTTGTTGTTTGTTAATTAGATAATCTCGCTTAATATCGGCCATTTCTGTGTCATCTGTATGTCCGCTTCGTCACTGTGCACAATATAGTATACATCTTGCCAGGCTCGTTGGCAACAAAAAAATATAAATTTATATGGTGTTCACTTGAAAATAGTGAGCTGGCAGCCATTTCTATATAAACTAGGCCCATATTGCATTATGTGTATTTAAGAAAAACAGGAGCCGACCGACACGAAGATGGGCACAGGATATAAGTGACTCCTTGAGTATGAAAGTGCATGAGGCGGGAGAACTGGCGAGAGATCGAGTTTCTTTCAGGCAGACTGTGATGAGAAAAATGTTCTACAAGGGACCTGCTACATGATGATAACAGTTAGCTGAGTTAGGCCTCACTGCCTCGATCGCAATGATGTATAGTTGCAGAAGGATTCGTTTAAAAACAAAATAATTATCATAAAATGCAAACATTTAGTTATTTCTGCCCTACATTTTACTGGGACTCAGCCTGAATCCAGCTTTAGACAGATTACACAATACTTTGTCTATGGTGGTATCAGCCACTAAAATGTTAATATCTTCGGTTAGAACTGGTCTACAGGTTTAATTTATACATCTTTGGATTTGTTATTTACATCCCTATCTAGCTCAGCTGTGATGGTTTCATAAGTATAAATCTGAAGTTTAAAGAAAGGACCAACATCATGGCACACACCCGTGTGTAACCTATAAGTGCTCCATTCTTCTTCAAAATAAAAAAGTCTGAGTCCAAAGAAGCTCAGCTCAGTGCACAGGCTCTGTAGCACCGGTGAGGATCCTGAAATTGGCTATTCTCCGATTAACGGTTCCAAATTGTCAAGGCTAAGAAAATACCCTAACAGGGCCTCAGTCATATGTAAATTGCAGACCTCTTTCCAGCGACTATACCGTGGAAAAGCTTCCGCTGAGTTAAAGTCACCACCGAGAGTCCCCACCACTGAGTGGAGCTAAACTAGATTGCTTAGACTCACGAGCAGCAGCTACCGCATCTCCTGCAGCATCCTCAATGAGTGAGTCCAAGCCATTCCTCCGCAGGGGATACTCTTGGCTGTGGCAGTATAGTCGCCGGAAAGAGGTCCGCAATTTACACATGACTGAGGCCCTGTTAGTGTATTTTCTTAGCCTCGTTAATTTGGGACTGGTATTAAGAGGGTAGGGCTATCCTCCGAATAACGGTACAAAATTATCGAGACGGAAAATATACCCTAACAGAGCCTCAGTCCTGTGTCAATTGCGCACTTCCATCATCCGAAATTGCGCACTTCCGTCGTCTTGAATTGCACTTCCTGCGACTTCCGCTACCGCCGAGAGTATCGCCCACGCTGCTCAGGCGGCGTGGGTTGGGGCTAAACTAGATGGCTGAGACTCCTTCATTCTATTTGCTAATGAGTCCTAGCCATCTAGTTTAACCCCAATCCACGCCGCGTGAGCAATGTGGCGGTGGCGTTATAGTCCCCGGAAGTGCGCAATTGAAAGGTAACTGAGGTTTTGGTAGGGTATAGTATATATTCCGCCTCAATAATTTAAGACCGTTATTCGGAGGATAGCCCTAAAACTTTGGGTAGATTTTTAAATCCAAATTTTGCCCATGCAGCGCCGTCAATATATAATATAAAACTTCACTAGCTGTCCTATTACTTAGAATCGTTACCTAATATTTCCTAACACAAGAAGAAGTATTTATCATCTTCTTAAAATGAAATAAAACACTGAGAGCACAAACACAATCGATTACAAGCACAGCGAGTGAGTGGCGGCTCTCCTTAGCAACGGCACCATCTTAGATTTCTGCTACTTTTGTTTCCGGGTCAAACCAAACAGGGGTTTATTGCAGTGTTGCCACTTTGGATGTTTTACATCCAGATTTAGATGTTTTTATTGTATTTAGATGGTGTTTTTTTTACGTTTAGATGGTAGATGTTTTTCTAGCGTTTTTCATTTGTAGTTAAGATATTTTATAGATTTTTTTCTTTCAGTGTCATTTTAATAATTACTGTATAAAATATTAACTACAAGAATTTTGTTTTGGTCTGACACGTACATTGTTACAATTGTGATTACTAAAACTTTGAACTCTCACTAGGGTCAACGCTCAAATATCTGGCAGCCCCGGTACTGATTAAAAGCGCACGTAAATCGTACTAACTTTGTTTCAACCGTATCCTCACTGTGCTGACTTTGTGTTCCTTTTTCATGTGATTAAAAAAAATATCGCTCACCTCCATATGTGGCTTTCACCTAGAAAAAAAACCTTTCAACATGCTAAAATTAAAGTATGAGCAAAAATTTCGGAAAGAGTGGTTGCATGATGGCAAATTTAAAGACTGGGCAATAGCAGTTCCTTCGGATATGACCAAGACTCGTTGTAAGTACTGCAAGTATGAAATTAAAGCGAAAATACAAGACTTAAAGAGTCATGCAGAGACTAAAAAGCATAAGACTGCAGTTCCATTCAAAGATATTACACAGCTGACATCTGTTTTCAGAACTACACTTTTAAATGAATCATCAAAAGTTAAAGGATCGGTCCCAATATTTTAAAGTTGTCATTGTGCAATTTCAAACTGTGACAATTTGATTGATTTGTTTAAAACACTATTTCTGAGAGTAAAGTTATGGATGACGTGAAAATGCAAGTGTACACATGTTACAAAAAATACTTTATTTTCTCTTTTAAAAAAAGATTTAATCAGTGATATTTCTACAAATAAATAAAGTTTATTATCAGACGAATCAAATGATATTTCGGTACTGAAAGTGCTTGGTGTGTGTATTATATATTACAGCAACAATCCAGACAAAGTAGTTTCTGCATATCTTGGACTAGTTCAATTGGAAAAGTGTGATGCAGAAAGTATAGTTCAGGAATTGAAGAAACTTTTAATCAGCAAACAGTTAGACTTGAAGAATTTGGCTGCAATTGGTACCGATAATGCCTCGGTGATGGTTGGTATAAACAATGGCGTTTATGCCAAGCTGAAGGAGGCTATCCCATCGTTAATACTTATAAAATTTATGTGTCATTCATTGCAGCTAGCATTATCACATGTTTCATCTGAATGTTTACCAAGGAATTTGGAATAGCTTATTGCTGAAACAGATAACTGGTTTTCTAAATAATTTGTCAGACAACAGCAAAACAAAACATTATAGACAGCCTTGAATGATGGTTCCACACCACTGAAAATTTTGTCAAATTGATAGATGGTTATCAATTCAACCAGCTGTTGAAAAAATTGTGAACCAATGGCTGAAGTTGAAGACATTTTTTGAATTAACAAGACATTCCTTCTCTTTTTACAACCTATTCTAATGGAAGTGCAAAAAGTTAATAAACTGTTCGAATCTAAACATGTTGATAAAGTTAAATTACTTGACGATCTCACTTTGCTATTTCACTCACTTGGTAAAAGACTGGTATTGCCAACTTCTAAAGCTGATTTGCTCACTTGCACTGTAGAGAGCTATTTGTCTCCTAAGCAATACCTTGGAAATCACATCGAATAAAAAATGGATGATTTAAAAACAAAAGGACTGTTAACAGAGAGTGAAAAGAACAACTTAAGAAAACGCTGTCAAGATGTCCTTTTCTCATTATTCAAGCAATTGAAACAGAGACTTCCTGAAAATCTAAATGTATTGAAAAATATTTCACTC